TTCTATACCAGCTCGGATGTGACGGGGACGGGGTGCCCGGAGGACAACGCGCTGCCGCTGCTCGACTTACCAGACAGTTGTAGACCGCCGTGACCGGCCCCCGGTGCTGGGGGTGGCAGATCTCGGTGAGCAGCAGAGGAGAGGCCATCTGCGCCAGGCTGAATATCCCCCGTGGTGGTCAGCACATCTGCGCTCCGGGCGAAAAGCATCCGGCGGGGAAGAAAACTCGCGGGCATACATACCTGTTGCCAAAACCCAGCAGGAAGCGTCCGGCCACAAACACTACGGTATACCCGTGAGCAAAACTCGATCGTCCCTCGAAGGCGGGGGGCTGCGAATTTGTCTACTGACTCTCGTAGTCGATGCAGAAGGCGCAGATGAAGCCGCCGCATATCATGAACGAGCACCCGATGGCGATGGACGTCTTGCGCCCCCAGTGGTCGGCAACATAGGGACTTTGAAGTAAGAAAAAATCATCAGTCTCGAGTTATTTCACCACCATCATCGCCACTTCTTCTTCTTCTTCTTTCTCTTCCTCTTCTTGAAAGGTAGTTAGGAATACGGGGGGGTTACAACGGGCACGGCACGCACGTAATAAAGAAGCTGGCCACGCTCCCGACATTAAACACATTAACCAACAAGCCCAGCCAGCTGTCGGCCACGGCGGGCGGGTTGTAGTAGCCCTCGCTGCCCGGACTCCCCTTTCCCTCGCCCAGGGCCCCGTTGCCCCAGCCGGCCTGGGTGCGCGGGAACGAGGCCCGCCACCGGTCCAGCTGCTGCGACGTGTTGACCAGCATGCCGTCGTAGCCCGTCGTCACCGACGCCAGCGTCAGCACCGCCGCCCACGCGTACAGCCGCCGCAGGTGCGGCTCCCGCGTCCAGGACACGGGCGCGAAGCGCGGGGGCAGCGCATCATCCGCGTCGGCGTCGGCGTCGTTGGCGTCGTTCGTCGCTGTCGCTGTCGCCGCTGCCGGAGGAGGAGGAGGTGGTGGTGGTGGAGGGGAGGGAAGAGAGTAAGGATGAAGAGGCGGACGACGACGGGGAGGTACAGGCGGCGGCGGCGGCGTCGAGGGTTCGTGCTGGTGCTGAGGCCGGTGCTCCTCCCCGTGGCCGCTAGGCCCGGGGGCAGCATGTCGAGGACGCAGCATGCTGGCGACGCACGCGAGAAACCTCCTTCCTTCCTTCCTAGGGCGCCGATTCTTTCCCGGTCTCACGGGGTATAAACAGCAGGACAAGGAGACAGACAGGCACAGCGAAGACGGGCAGAGAGATCTCGAAACGAAGACGGGGAGGCCCTACGTGCGACGTCCGGGCGGACGAGCCCTCGGGCATTCAGATATACAACTCCCTAGTTGCCCGTCCTATTACCAGGTACCGTAGGTGCTGCAAAGACCCATCTAGCGGTACCGTGTCTAGTACTACCTACTTCTTACCTCGCCGTCGACCCGGCACGGGCACAGCACGTGTGTGGGAGGCAATATACGGATTCAAGCACCGGCATGCCCAGCATCAGAACGCGGCCGAGGGGGGCGACCAATCAGTACCGCCCGGTAGGTGAAACGCACGTCGAAGCTACCTACTGTTGCTCGCCTCCTCCTCCTCCTCGGAATGGGGGGAGCTTCGTGCTGCCGTCCTCCGCGTTCGGGTCCCCGCTGTGCACCGTCCCGGAGAGGAGGGGGGATTCTGCAGAGAGCTGCGGAAGCTCGACTGCGCGCGCACAAGTGAGTGTGTTCCCGAGATGGCTGAGGAAAAAATGTCCGCATGCATTATCTTCTCCCATTAGGTATTCTCTCTGCCTCTACGCGTGCTCGGCGTCCAAGCCAGATCGCCCCCGCCACGCCACTCAGCGCTGCAGTCGTGCCCGTCGAGGGCTAGCTGGCTGGCTGGTCGATCTCGCCGGCGTCGACGGAGTGGGACGTCGTCGGCGGGGATGGGGATGGCAGGCGGCCAGACAGACAGACAGACAGACAGACAGACAGACAAAGAGACTGCCGTGATCGACTCTTCCAGATCAACCAACCCCCAGAAATCAAGGAAGTAAGCGATAAGCTACTGTAAGTCCCCCAGTCGGGTGTTTTGTTTGTCTGTCTGTCAGCCTGGGGCAGTAAGTCGACCGCCCCCCCTTGCCAGCTCGTTCCCGCGCCACGCGCCGTTTCCAGCCCTCGGCACCAGACCCTCCAGCGTGTCCGGGGCAGACGGGTGGGCGACGGGAGGCTGGGCCAGTCAAAGTGACGGCGGCGGGGGAAGGCGAGCTGGGGGAGGCGAGCAATGGGGGGGGAAGACGGGGGGCCGCACTATCGGGGTGAATTGATGCCTCCAATGATGGGCCGGCTCGGCGGCCGATTTTCTCCCGACCAATCGTGACGGCCTCTGGATGTGCCGTTAAATCTTGCACGGGAAGATGACTGATGTCTAGACTTGCTCTATCTAAAGCGACACGAGGGCTCGGCTATGGTAAGCTCGTGGCGAGTCTGGCAGGATGCATACGGCACGCCACATGATGGCCATGCAGCACTTCACGTTTGTCAATGTCGAGCAGTGGTGAGAAGGCTGGGCTAACTTGGGAAAGGGTTTCTTTCATCTTCGCTCTACGGAACCACACCCAGGTCGAGACAGCGAGCCCGGCTTCCATAAAACTTGGTCTGGCCACACGAACTTGACAACAATCATGGGTTCAGATAGCATTGCACCCGTGTACGTTATTCCCAGTCCTGTCCGATGAAGCAGTCGGTGCAGAGCAGAGCAGAGCAGAACGGAGCGGAGGAGAACGCAGCTTGCTCCCGCCATCCATCCACCCATCCCCATCCCCCCTCTAAGCACCATCTTTTCCTCCGAAGCCCTCGAAGGGGCTTGCGTCCGCGTCCCTGCGGCCGAGGCTGCCGAGCGCCCAGTTGACCTCGACGGTGCGCAGCACGCTGTAGTGGTTGTAGTTCCAGTAGTCGATGGTGCCGACGCGGTCGGGCGGCACGGCGCCGCCGAGCAGCAGCGTGAAGACCCGGTTGTCGTTAAGGTAGTCCTCCGACTCGTCGAACGTCAGCTGCACCAGCGTGCGGCCCTTGTTGAAGCGCGCGTCCCGCAGCAGCGGCAGGAGGAAGTCGAGCGTCCACGCGCCCGCGAAGCCCACGTCCGTGTCGTGCCCGTCGTGCCCTGGGTAGGCAAGCGCGAGCGCGCGCGAAAGTGTCAGCTGGGGTCTGGAAAACTGGGCTCTTGCCTTGTTCTTCTTCTTCTTTTTTCCTTTCCTCCCGAGAATGGAATCTGAAGGGGGCGGGGCGGAAGGAAAGGAGGCGACAAGGGGAAGACCTACTCATGTTGGGCGTGATGAACATCCACTGCGGCAGCTTGTCATTGGCGAGGTCCTGCTCAAACATTGTGAAGTTCTTGGACAGGGCCAGACGGTTCGGGTTCTCGGTGACCGACTTGTAGCTTATCACAGGGCTGTCACCGTCAGTCAGCACGCCGGCTCAGCCCGCAGAGCTTCTTTCATGTGGTAGCATTGACCTACTTGTGCTTGCGGACGTATGCGTTGGCTCCCGTCTTCTGGTTCTCAAAGTCCCCCAGGAAGCCGGTGTACGGCAAGTCCTCGCCGTACACGCCCCAGCTCACCCCCTTCGCCCTGCGCAGCGTCGGCGTCAGCACGTAGATAAGGCAAGGCACGTACTCCCGATACAGGTATAGGAGACGGACGTACTCGAGCAGGTCGATGATGGTCTCGACGTCCTTGTTCATCTCATGCCAGTCGTCGCCGTGGACGTGGTGTCGGCTGCCCCCGACCACGGCGATGTAGTTGGGCTGCGACGGATGCGCAAGTGCCCTGTACTGGACCAGCTCGATGCCCAGCGACGTCAGGAACGCCAGACTCGCTGCAAGCAGGCAGGGAGGGGCGGCCCCCCTCTCCCGGTCAGCCTAGAACCAACACCAAGTAGGTAGGCATACTCAAGGTAGGTAGGTGAGGATGGGAAGGGGAAAGACGGGGCGCCAAGTTAGGTAGGTACTCACGGTCGCCCTCGGCGATTTCAAAGTCCTGGTTCTCGAGCCAGATCTGCACGAAGCGGTCGAAGAACTTTCCCGGCACGTTGCTCGTCGGACTCAGCGTCAGTGCCGAGGCTTGGTGCCTCGCGATCGTCCCCGGGTCCTTCGGCACCGAGGGGTGGTTGCCCATCTCTGCTCTCCTCTCTCGTCTCCTGCTACCGAAGTAATTGTCTCGTCTCGTGTCCAAAAAGAATAAGAAGCGAGGGGCCCTGGCGTGGTGGACAATCAATCGCAGACTGCGGCAACGGGATCTACTTGTGCACCAGGAATTCTCTCTCTCACGCAGGTACTGGGCGGCCGTCTGCGTCTTTATAAGAGGTGCCTCGGTGGATCATTCTCACTCCACGACAGGAAGGCCGGTCAGTGAGAGGCGGGCGCCATGGCTGGACCGTGGACAGCGAGGAGAGGTCACGAGTTTTCGGCGTCAGCGGCGCTCTTCTAGGTCCAGGTCGCGTATCGACAGCTTCGGGCGGCCTCGCTGAGACATCGTGTTGTAGAAAGTGTAGAAAGACTCTTTGGCCAGCGGTCAAGATTCCGTGTCAGTACCTCAGGTACGCGAGCATGGCGGTGAGGGCAAAGTCTTGTCCGACCCGCCCTGAGCTGCGAGGCTGCGCTACAGAGACTGGCGGAGCGACCAAACTTTACGAAACTCGTATCTTGCGGAAGGCGCCAATGAATGCTGACACGGAACTCAACTGGGCCTGGTACTGTAAATGAATTATGTGCAGTACGTGGCATGGTGTAGAGAGGTGAGGGATGAGAGACAAAGGCGTTTGGCTTGCCGAAGATGACATCTTAGTTCCGCTATGGCTGTGAATAGGGGCGTAAAAGGGGGCAGGTTCGGCTGTGAAAGGGGTGAAGCTGACAGTGTCTAGCACGCACGCACGGTGTCACTATGATAAGAGAACATAGGACATGATTAGAGCAGCAAATTCTCACACAATGACCCCGAGCGGGTCTGACTGTGAACTGGCTCAATGGTCTAGTCGTATGATTGCTGCTTCGGGATTCATCTCCCTTCCAATGAAGATTTGGGAATGTAGCAGGTCCCGGGTTCAAATCCCGGTTGAGCCCTCCTTTTTTCCCTTCCTGTGTCGCTTCCAATCATTTTTTGGTAGGTCACCTTTCTGTATAGCTATCTATGACTTAATGTGAATCGTGCGTGGAACTTGCGTTGTGCCCAAGTTTTACGCAACTTGCTCGCGGAGTGACCATAGAGATGAATCGCAGTATTCCCACGGCTGCCGATGAGTTGCATACTGTACCTAAGTCCATGCACACTGAATGCTCCGCCTATATTGAGTACTTAATGTCTGGCGAGTCTATGACCGCGATGCTACCTGGTGATACAATGCCTACCCTTACCCGACCGACGCCTTCTAATGCGACACGACACGAACACGAACCGATCGCATCCATGCCTGCCGTCCACGCCCGGACCAGACAGACGCAAATGCAACGCAACGCAACGCAACGCAATGCCCTCTGCCCTCTACACTCTGCCCTTTACCCTCTGCCCTTTACCCTCTGCCCTCCCCTAACTCACCATATCCGCTTCGCCACCATCTCGTAGCGCACCACCTTGGCGAGCGCGTCGTCGCCGCCCGGGTCCCGCAGGAGCCTCTCCTGGGTCTTGCGCTCGCGGTCGCGCATGCGCCGCAGCCCCTCGGCGTCGTCCTCGTACAGCCACTTGCGGCGGTCGTCGCCGAGCTCCACGGCGCTGAAGGCGCCGACCCGCTGTCCGGGCTGCGAGAAGTTCTCGGCGGTGGCTTGGGCGGCAGCAGCGGCCTCGGCCTTCTGGTGGTCCCCGGCCGCTTGGGCTTGGGCTTGGGCTCGGGCGGCAGCTTGGGCGGCATGGTGTTCCTTGAGCTTCATGACGGCGTAGCGCCGCTGGGCGTAGCGCAGCAGGAACATGCCGAGCAGCAGCTTGACGATGAGCAGCACGACCCAGGCGAGGAAGAAGAAGACGACCATGGTGAGCAGGGCGATGGCGTCGTCGGACGAGAAGGCCCACCATGAAGAAGTGGAGCGCGCGGTGCCGCCTTGGCCGCCTTGGCCGCCGTACGGCTGCCCGTACACGGCGCGGCCGAGCGCGCCCCGGATCAGCGTGTCGAGGTGCTCCAGGGCCGCCGTCATGGCGGGCGACGACGGCGCCGACGACTCCATCGAGAGGTCCGTCGTCGACGTCGACGTCGGGAGCGGCGGGTGCAGGTGCGTCGCGAGGAACATGTGGTACACCTGGATGGAGGCGCGGATGAACAGGCACGAGAGGGGGAGCAGGGGCAGGCCCAGCCGCCGCGTCAGGGAGGGCGTCGAGAAGGCCTGCGCGAAAGTTGGTCAGCCAAGACACGCACGTGCCTGCATCTTCAAGAACGACTTACATTAGTGTAGTAGTCCTTGCAGAGGATGTCGAGCATGCGGCGGTAGATGGTGGGCTTGACGTTGTTGAACTTGTTGATGTAGGCGTGCTTGATCCAGTCCACCATCATCTCGATGCCGACGACGACGAGGAAGGGCGAGAGGACCTCGCCCGACCGCAGCCAGGCGGGCAGCACGGTGAAGCTGGCCGGCAGGATCGAGCTCGTGTGGAGGGGGCCGGCCTTGGCGGCGCCGCCGTCCAGCTCGGACCCGGCGCCCGGGACCGAGAGGCCGCCGACCTCGACCACGTTGCGCATGCCGATGATCAGGAGGATGATCCAGATCTGGAAGCGCTCCACAACGTCGGAGCAGGTGAGCTGGAACAGGTTCTCCTTCTCGATCTTCTTGAAGACGCTCCCCTTGATCTCGACGAACTGGTTGGAGATGAGCAGCGTGAGCAGCGAGTTCGAGTACGAGTTGACGGCCACGTTCAGCGTGATGACCTGGTAGAACAGGCACCAGGTGTGCAGCACATTGTAGAACAGCGACAACACGAACATGCCGAAGGGCAGGAGGATCTTGGACCGGCCCGAGCTGTTCCGGGACAGCGTCTCGGAGCTGAAGAGGCACTCGAGGATGTCCTGGCCGATGGCGGACAGGAGCCGGTCGCCGACCTCGAGGATGTTGTAGATGACGTACAGCTTCATCGACGACTGCGCGCGGATGAAGTGGTACATGCGGCTGGCGTCCAAGTTCATCAGCGCCACCGAGCTGCAGACGAGCACGGCGCCCTGGAGGAGGTCCGCCTTGTGGTACGACGTGAGGCTAGACGGCACCGACCTGGTCCTCCGGTGGCGGAGGCTGCCAGTCCTCGGCATGGCGTGCTTCGGCGGGTGGAAGACACCGGCGCTGCCGGACCGCGCCGGCTCGGACAGCGATGGGGCGACGGCATCGGACGGCATTCTGCGCCTAGCCGTGCCGTTCTGCGGTGGGCCGGCGCCGTTCTCCCGCGGCCGGCTCGGGCTCCGCTCGGCCTCGCTCGCGGCCCGGCTGCTATCGGACCAGGCGCGCGACGCGGGCCGACCTCGCCTGCCCCTCTGCCACAGGCGCCAGGTCCCCTGCCAGACGAAGCGCGTCATCCAGCGCGCCTCGCGCCACACGGCGCGCGCCCACCAGCGCATCAGCACGCCGAGGGCCACGAAGAAGCGCAGCGGCAGTATGGTGAAGGTGTACAGCCAGGCGTCGAGGCAGGCCATGGTGCCGAAGAAGAAGATGCGCTCGAGGTAGGCGGGCAGCACGAGCGCGTTCAGCAGTCGCTCGAATTTGACGGCGCTCGACTCGTAGGGGGCGTCGGCCGCGTGCGAGTGGTGGATGTACAGCGGGCTCGGCCGCTGGCCGGCCAGTTCCAGCTGCAGGTGCGTCGGGAGCGACATGGGCGGGATGGGGATTGCCGAGGGCATGGGAGACGGCGGGCCAGGTTCCGCACGCTGCTGCGGCCTGGAGGCGGCCGAGGACTTTGGCGCGGCCGAAGGAGGGTCGCTGGAGGCTCCGGGTATGTGCAAGGGCGTCGGACGGGGGAAAGTGTTGTACGAGTTGCGGCGGCCCGGGTTCGGCGCCGTCATGGGCCCGCTGGAGGCGGACTTCCGGCTGGTGGGAGGCGTGGAGAGAGTCCGGGGCCCGGGGCGCGGCCGCCTGAAGTCGGTAGCAGTCCGGCGGTAGACTTCGCGATCCTCGCCAACCCCGTTGATCCGGTCGGCGCCATCGGCTCTGGGCGCGGAGGGGCGGAAGGCCTCCTGCAGCTGCTCCGCCATCGACGGACGCGACGCGCCCTCGGCGATGCCGGCAGACAAGGGGTACTCGGTGCCGTTGGGCCTGCGCTGGGCGGGGGCTATGGCGACCGGGAGCGAGTCGGGAGACGAGGTCAACGCCTGCATTTGCGAGGCAGATAGCTTGCGGATCTTCTCGTGGCTCTCCTTCTTGGTGGCCGTCGGCGTACGCGGTTTAGAGCCCGCGTCGGTGGAACGGCGAGAGGGGGGCTTGGAACTGACGGGCGACCCGTGCGTGTCGGAGACGGCACAGGCCGAATCGGCGTAGGCGTTCGTAGCTTCTTCGGATAACGAGGGCGGGCGGGTGTCGACATGCGGCATAGGGTCGGAGCCGGCGACGGTGGCCTCTGTGCGATCTGGCGGCCTCTGTGGCGTGGTGGGGGTCGCCGACGTGACCTCGAGGACTGGGAAGGGGTCGGGCGGCGGCGTGGGATACTGGGGCGACAGCTGCTTCGTGTAGTCGTCGCCGTGGTGCTGCCCTCCGGACCAACCTCTGCCTCTCCCGCGCTGTGCTCCCGCGCTGGCGCGCCCTCCATGCTCCGCTTCACGCGGGCGGGCGGGCTGGTCGACAGTCACCGGCCCCGTATATTCTGGCATCATCGAGGGGGCCGTGTCTCGTCCAAGCCCATCGCTCCGGCTCGCGCCTTCGATAGCCCGGCGTCTCGCGGGCACTGCACCGATGGGCTTGCAGGGTCAGCGAGGGTCCATGGACTCGAACAGGGCGGCGAAGCAGATTCGTCTGCGTCTGCGATGCCAGCTCAACCACGATGTCCGCCTGTCTATGAGAATGCCGGTCGTTTGGGGGGCGTGGGTCAGGGGCTGAAGTCGAGCTGGGCGTGTACGAGACGGAGGTGGGAGTTGTAGTTGGACGCGAACAGGTGTCCGCCCTTTAGTTCATTCAGTAGCTACAGCAGGCGCTACAGTGCGCAATCAACCACAGCCATTGGCCAGGCCCTGACGGCCTGGGACCGGGCCTGCTGCAGTCTGCAGCTAGCGACGTCATGCCTGCAGTAGGCGCTTTAGGTTGCTGCCATGATATAAACACCGTCGCAATACTGTATTCACACTGTACTTAGCTACACCTTCTACCCCTTTCCGTTTGTTCCCCTAAAGTTACATTTTGCTCTTTTGTCCGCAGTTCGTCTCCTTAAGTTGCCCCCTTGATGGACCCTATTGCCGGCCTTGGGCGCACCGGCCGTTCTCTATTATAAACCAAGGAGGCTCTGGGCTCGACCTCCCACAATGCTTTGCCATCTGGCATGTCCGACGGCTGCATCTAGTCGTCAAGGGCCGTCTGTTGGCCTAGATGCTACAATGTAGAGACACGACATCGTTGTCGTTCTTATATTAGGTAGCTCACATCCTCTCCCAAACATCCAACGCCGGCATCCGTCCCCGGCCGCGCGTGTCGCCTCACCATCACACTATGTACACTGGCAGTCGGCTGCCCAGCATCTCGCTCTTGGACAGCTGGACGTCCTTCCTGTGGAAATCGTGCAGCAGGAGCCAGCAGATCATGCGGAACACCAGCGTGCACCAGATCGTGTCCAGCCGCTCATCGCCGTCGCCACCGTCGCCGCCGTCGAAGCCGGTCAGCGGCCCCGGCTCCGACTCGCCAGCGGTGCTGCCGGACGAGAAGCCCGAGTTGCGCGTCGGCGGCGCGTTCGCCAGCGCCTGGCGCCGCACCTCGTCGAAGTAGATCCTCATGAAGTCGTCCTGCCGTTGCGCGGGCGTGGCCAGGTCGAGTTCATTGAAGGTCGCCTGGTTGAGGTTAAGGATAACCGCTTGGAAGTGGCCGCGCAGGACTCGTAGCACGGCCGACCGCGCAAGGTGCGGATCCAGCAGGTACTCGTCGGCGGCGTCGAGCGCGTCGTGCAGCGCGTCCATCAC